GCGAGAGACTCGATAGCCGGTCGGTCGATCGGCGGTGTCCTAAAAGTGGAGTCACGGTGCGAGAAAACGATATCGCGCGCCGCCGGTATACACACTCTCGTTCGATTCGCGACAGTAAATAAACTCTCTCGTGGCGCGCTTCTCGGATTTTCTCAGAATCCGCGAAACTGAAAATAGATACGCGATTCGCGTCATTGAAGCTCCCACAATGTTTCTTTCCTGTTTTGCAAAACGTCCGCAAATAGCTCGGAAAAATCGCGGCGCGAATTATCTTTTCCGAGAAAACACATCGCGGTTCGATTTTACGCGAGGAATAAACGTTCGCGCCGAGGCAAAAATTCCCTCATCCGCGCAAATTTGCGCGAACTGTTTTTTTTTTTTTACGCTCGCGTTCAATCGGTTCGGATTTGCGCAAGACCTTGCGGAACTGAGAAATCTTGCCGCGTGGCGCGGGAGTTTAATTAAAACTCCCTCATCGCAAAGCGCGGTCGTAGATAGCGAAGTCGCGCGCGGACGTCGTTCTTATACCGATCCGCACCGCTGGCCGATCGCGCGCGCGGGGTCGGCCGCGCGATTTTTTCCACTTTCTAAACGCGCGCGCGCGGGGGTCCGCGAAACCGGAGGCCGCGCGGAATTTCGTGATTAGCTCGGCCGTTTTTGTCAACGTCACGTTGGCAATAATGTTCGTTGGCGCGTAGAATTATTGCCTCATCGATGGCCGTTGTAGGTTGACTCGCGAGCGCGCTCGGTCGCTCTCTTTCGTGGCTCGGAGCGACTGCTACTTCTGTCTCTCGTTTCTCGAGCTCGACGAAACCGGAGCCGTCCGCTCGTTTTCGCAACGAAGAAACAAAGAAATCCTCTCGCGTCCTCCTCGAGCGGCCACTTTCGTCCTTTTTGCTCGCATTCCGAACGGTTGCTCGCTGATCGCGCGCCGACCGTCGTTCGCGACTACTACCAGAATTTCGGAAGCGTCGCCGCGCGTTTCCGGAACGCCTGTTGCGCACAGTCGTCGTTTTGTTCAAACATCGTCCAAATTTCTGTGCGTACATCCTCTCTCGTACTTGTACTTTCTCTTTCCCACTCGCAGTTCCCTTGATTACTCTGTAATCCTCACCGGCGCGACTGAGACAATCTTTTCGCGTCGCAATGACGAGGTACACGACACCGTAATATCACTTTTTTTTTTTTTTTACAACCCCGTTGATTAAGATCAAGACACGCTCTTCTTGCGATTGGAGCGAGCAAAAGCTCGATCCGCATTAAAGAGCGGGGCACTTTTTGTTCATTGATGTAAATTGCTGGGCGGGGTATTATAACAGGGTTGCGGCGGATTTTACGGCAAAATTTCGTGAACTCGTCTGACGACGTTGTTTGTGGAACTTCAACTTTTACTTTGCTCGCGGGAAGGGAGGGATAAGAACTTTAAATTAAACGCCGCACGTGTTTTTCTCAAAGTGCGCGACAACTACGACGTATTTAGTACAGTACACACTTGTGGAAATGTAAATATATAACAAAGTCTAATTAAATTATAATTCTAATTCGAGTCGATGTGTTTGTTTAAAGTTTTTTTACACACATCCTTTATGCAAGAATATTACAATATCACCTTGACGTTTATTTACAACGACGCATACGCGAGTATACGACAAGATAATGATCTGATTGCATTTTAATAAAAATATACGACAAGCGATTACTGATTACGTTTTATGAAAATGATGAAAAAAAAAAAATGTTCCGTATCGCGAGAGCGTGTGAAACGTTTTTTTAGATCGTCGTTTATAAAAAGCGACTTGACGAGTGGTAAAACGCTTAGTTCACCGCGCGATCTAGAAACGAATTTGCATATTCGACTTGTAAAATAATGCAAGTCAATCGATAATTAATTGATTGAAGAATTTTTATCGAATCAAAGAACAAAAAGTTTTGTATTATCGGCATCAAGTTTCCAATGATCGAGAAACAAAAATGAAAATTGTTGCGTTTAATTATCTGAACGAAATTGAACTTGAAAATCGCGCGTGTCTTGAGATAATTACTGCCAGACAAATAGCATGACTTTTGAACGAAAGCGTGATCTAGCGTATTCGGAATGAAAGGGTTGTTAGCTCGTCTCTTGCCTTTGGAGCAGATCTTATTTGTCGTCGATAAGAGAAGTCTCTAGACGCACTTTGTAACATTTGTACGACGTGTGATATGTAACAAAAACACTAAACAAACAAATGCACTGTTACACTTATTGTTCTACAATATCGCGCATGAAGTTTAGAAGTGATTTGTAATTTGTAATTACTGTAAAATCTGTACATACACACACGTTTCTCTTTATCTAGAGTAAACAGCGCCAGAGCGCAGCACAAACCAATGAAATTCGTACTTTCTTGGTGTGCGTTGGCACAAGTCACAAGTATATTGAAAAGTTCTTTACTAACTTTTTGTCTAAAACCTCAGTTTGCATAATAAGTATTTATCTCGTATTGGATAATAGAGCAACGCAAAATAAGGTGACGATAAAATACTAGAATTCGTTCTCTGATGATTGTTTCGGAATTAATTAAAAAAGAAGCTCACATTGTACGTCAAAAGTTCACGACAGAAAGAGTGCTTTTGTTCGCAGCTCTTATTAAATAAGGAATCCAAAATGTATAAAAGAAAAAGGAGAACATCGATAGGTAACATTATCGCTTAGGTAATCAACTTGAAGTGTAATATTTTAATCGTAATGACGTGTTACAGAATGCTTTTTATACAGTATGTATAGATAGAGACAGCGTCGTAATATAGTTTTTCCTTAAGTAATTCATTTTCAATAATATTTATGCTTAATCATTTTGTAAGTTATCATCTATAGTGAAAGAGATAGAAGTAGAGAGAGATAGAGAGAAAGAGAGACAGATATGTCGAGAGAAAATGTGTATTCGTAAAACCTTTATGTGAAAAAACAAGTGAAGCCCCAACTTGGTGATTACAAACGAACGATAATATATTCTTTCTGTTTCTTTTGTTTATTTAATCGCGAGCGTAAGGTAATTGTTTCGGTAACCAAAGCCTTGCGGCTCTGCGTATGATGTTGTGCGTTCCTCGTGCCGAATCGCATGACAACGCGAGCAGCGAACGACGATTTGACAATTCTTCGAGTTTTAAAATCACGTGTGGCGTCAATTCCGCTCTCGCACGCGATCGAGCACGAAAGGAAACGTGTGTCGCAGGTTTACGTTACACTTTTTTCAAAGTTGTTCTATCAGAGAGAAACTAATTAAATTTAATAATATACTAAATAATAGGAATAGAATTAAATTTATTGAAACTGAAACAAAATGTATTCCACTGTTTTATCAAAACACATGTTTTAATTATCTAATTACACTAAATGTTAATCAAAGTGCGAACAACAAGATTGGCTGCTGTAATCCACGTGACTTTTGACTTACTGAGACAGTTACCTTACATATAAGCATTACGCGACATGCTCACATTTCGTCGTTAATTAATTAATTAATTTCCTCGCTATCGATATATAACGCATCTTAATATATTTATTTCTACAGGTCGAGTGAATCGCGAGGAACATTTGTTCGTTTACATGAGTTTTTTTGTGTTTTCCTTCTCGCCTACTGCAAGATAAAATTCCTAATTTGTATTTTATTTATTTATTTATTCATTTATATAATATATATATTATATATTAAAAATCACGGAAATTTTTTTTCGTCTCTTTACAAATGTATCACCTAATGAAAATTTGTACACAGTTCCTCATAAGATTTTTTCTCATCGTCTAATTGTTTAAATTATTCACACTTTTTCGCACGCGCGCGCGCGCGCAGTTCAATAATTATTATTTCTCGTATTTCGTAATGTCTTCTCTTCGTCGCTTTGGCTTCTCGGACTAACACACATCAATTTTGATATACAAGGAGAGAGAGAGAGAGCTGCGCGATAAATGTATTTTTCTTTCACTTCGCAGGTCCTTAGATTTCGCAGGTGGATCTTGCGTCCAGTAAATACAATTTTGTTTTTGCTTTTACTATATTCTGTGTTATAGTATGTATATATATATATATATATATATTATATATATATATATATATTTAGTATGTATGTATGTATATATATATATATATATAGTTATTCACTATGTTCTAACAAAATCCAACGACCTCGGTCGTTTGTAACAAACACTTTATTATAAATAACACTGTTGTTTAGAAAACAAACCAGTCGAGAATAACGCACACGTAGATCGTCTTTTATCTAAAAATGTTTGATTAATTTAATCACCGGGCCGCACAGATCGCACAGAGTCGGAAAGCTTAATGCAGAGATGCGCCTTGATTGTGTGTGTTCGCAACAATTCGGTCTCGTTCCTTTGTCAAGTGTGACAAAAACCATTTTTAATAATAATAATAATAATAAGAATAATAATAATAATAGTAATAATAATAATAATAATAACGACAAATTAACTTCGCAATAAATAATATTACAAGATACGCGCGATTTTCTTTCTCTTCAATCGATACGGTAAAAAAAATAGGCGGGAATAGAATCGATATTTTCAATTACGTGCGCGTATTACTCATAACGAGTTCGTAGAAACTAGAGAACTAGATCTATAGAAGAGCTTCTGGTATGCGTGTGTGTATGTGTCTGTGAGGGAAGAAATAGTAGGATCTAACTGGTCCATTTGTTATATTTTTTTTTTTTTTTTTTTACAAGAGACGCGTTTCTCGCGGTGCAAACAAATGCGGAGTGAGAAAAAGGATGCGCAACAAGGATCTGAAGTCTTCGGGGACTTTATTACAGTTGTCGGGGGAGGGATAAGGGAGTTCCTTGCATTTTTTTTACAGAGCACCTGTTTTATAAGTATAATAGGGTTTACTGTGTGTATATATGTGTATATATATATATATATATATATATATATATATATTCTATAAATATATATATATATGTGTGTATATATATATATATATATATGTATGTATGTACGTGAATCTTCTGATTATCTCTTGCAGACTTTCGGGATAAATACACATGACATGTAATTAATAATTATTACTATTATCGCTGTCTTTCGTGGATTTGCAATAAACGTTTATACGAGAAGAGCAACCCGATTATACTCGAAGTTCGCTTTTGTGGAAGCAAAAGGTCGGATATGTGATTCTCTGCTGAGGTTCGAAGTATACACGGACCGTAAAACCTAAAAACTAAATAAATCTCGCGCCGGCGTGTTACTCTCGAGGTAAACGCCGATTGAGATTGAGATTTTGCCGAACGTCGCGACAATTCTGTACATTAGTGTGTGAACGGGATATCCTCGCTCATCGAAGCGACCGCACGAATCACCCGGACTGACCTCTGGGCTATGTCGAGATTTCGATCACCGGCTCGGGAGTGTTGTTATTGAGCAACACCTGAGAGATCTTCTCTCTTAGCTTCAGATTTTCATCGTACTGCGAGGGCGACGGCGACTCCTTGGCCTCGATCGGTGACATACCGTCCGTTTCCTCAACCGGCGACGCACCCTCCTCACTGTCCTCGTCCTCGTCGTACTCGACCTCCATCTTGGACTCGTTCATCTCGTGCAACCGTCCAGGAATGTAGGCGGGATGATGCGGCAGTCCGTATCCGCTCTCGCCGCTGTAAGTCACCTTGCCCATGAACGATCGGATCTCCTCGAAGTAGCTGTCCTCGCGCTCGTTCTCGTTGCTGCTGCCGGGCGAGTCCGCGACCGAGACCACACCGCTGCCGTCGTCGGCCTCGTGCTTCTTCAAATGTCGATCCAGATTGGTCTGCTGGCCGAAACATCTTTCGCAAAGCGGACACTTGAACGGTCGCTGCTTGTCATGAATGTTTCTCACGTGTCTCTGCAGATTGCTCGAGATGCTGAACGATCTCTCGCAGTACTTACACTTGTACGGCTGTTCGCCGGTGTGCGTGCGCAGATGCCGCGTCAGATTAGCCGAGCGGGGAAACACCTTGCCGCAGAACTTGCAGGAATAGCGGTCCTTCATCTTGCCGTGCAAGTGGTGATGATGATGATGGTGATGGTGCGGATGATGAGGCGCCATTACGGCCTCCTGGAACGGCTTCACGCCGGGGAACGCGCTCAGCGGCGGCCGGGCAAGCAGATCGAATCCTCCTCCTGGCCTAGCGCCGCTGAGCCCGTTCATAAGCGAGCCTAAAAAAGGAAGTCCGCGCGGTGGTGGGCCGAACAGTGGCGGAGGTATCAGTCTGGATTCCGGTGTTGCCCCGCTGGGAGGTGGTGGCGCGTTGGGAAATCCTGGAAAAGTTGTCGCTGGTCCGCGATACATCGTGTCGAGGAACATCGGGTGTATCGGTCTGGGGTAAGCCATGTGCGGCGGCGTATTGGTCAGTGGTTGTTCGGTGGGCAAACTGGTCCTCAACTGTGGACTACTAGGAACGTCCTTGGAATCGATTTCTATCGGCGGAGCGGGATCCTCTTCCACTTTCGGGGGATCGGGAGGTGCGGGTGTCTGCTCGATCGGAACTGGCGCCGGCGACGGACTGTGGCTCTTCCTGCTCGAAACCTTCGAAGTGGATTCCTGCTTCTTGGTCTGCACCCTCAAATCCAGCGGTTGTTCGCTCGTCTCCTCCTTCGAACCACTCGAAGTGCTCTCGGCCTCCATTTTTCTTCTCTTTGCATGTCGGTCGTCGTCGCTCTCCGGAGTTGGTTGAATCGGCGGTCTAGCCGGAGACGGCCTGAAGGTAGAGGTAGCTTCCTCCGCCGTGGAAGGGGAGACTTTGTTGTGCTGCGGCAGCACTCTCGGAGGAGTGAAACGTTCCTTTTTCGGACTGTCGCTTCTCTTCTCGGCTTCTTCGATCTTCGGTGGGAACAGCAGAGATGCTGAATTCAAAAAGCTGTGACTGGTCTGAAAGAGTCCCGGATAAGGAACTTGACTTATCAGACCGGGCGGATAGAAGGGCAAACCGCCCGGCAGGCTCATCGGGGGTCGTGAATACATGAGGAAGGGACTCGTCGCCGGTGTCGGTAGCTGTGGCATCGTTCCGGGCGGGCCGGTCGGTGTCGTGGAGTCGCAGAATCGCTTGTGCTTCGACAATGACGTCACCGTACTGAACGACTGTCCGCATTTAACGCACTTGATCTGCATGCGGCAGTCGGCGTGCATGCGTTTGTGCCGGCATAAATTTGAGAACTGAGTGTACGCCTTGAAGCAGACCTCGCACTGAAAGGGCTTCACGCTACTGTGGATATGCGTGTGCTGTTTCAGGCCGGAACTGGTCGCGAAGGTTTTTCCGCACTCCGTGCAGGCGTGACTCCTGGCGCCCACGTGATGCGTCCGGATGTGACGTTGGAGGTTCGATGGGTCCGTAAAGACCTGCCGGATGTTCGACTGTTAGCGCTACGAAGATGCTACTAGGAGGGAGGGATTGTATGATTTTAGCGACTGGGGCGCGAAGTTAAAACTTACCTTCGGACAGTTCTCGCAGGGATAGTTTCGAAGATCGCCGTGAACGATGGCACGATGTCGTACCAGAAGAGGCCGCCAAGCGTAGGCACGTGGACAGCTGTCGCAACGATGCTGTTCTGCCGGATATCTGTGACAAGTTACCAGATGGCTGTCCAACCTGAAAAAATTCCACGTAATATGTAGATAAAAATTAATTCAATATAAAACAAAGTTGAGAGAAACATAAGAAATATTAAATATATCCTTAAACAATTGAATAACTTATAAAAGTATCTCTAGAGTATAATTTTTTAAGCAGACTGTTAAAGAAAATTCTTGAAAATGTCTCTCTTTCTATTTTTTTCTTTACGTCCCGTTCGAAGTTCAACCAAAAGTTTAATCAAAGCGCCGAGCAGGATGTGATACGATAACCGACCTGCACCGACAAAGACTGCGCCGGGCGCAGTCTCGGATGATGACTAAGTGACTTTGGCCGCGGCGAGTCCCGTGTAATAACGGTCCGCGCGCACCCCCTGAAGAAGAGGGTGGCCATCGCGCACGAACACGCGCCGTCACGAAGAAAAGCGGTAGTCCTAAGGGGGTTGTCACGAGGTAGGCACCGGGTTATCGTCGCACGCGGGATGCCATGGTGTGGTGCGACGGCATTGATTTTACACCCCCGAACACACGCGTCGTGTGAAACCTATTCGTGGTGAGATAGTGCCTTCATGGTGACGGTGTGCCACGTTAGATGAGCTGCGAGCACGCGACGCCTTCGATGATGTATACGAAGTGAGAGGGGTGGCACTGTTCAGCACCCCCGCGTCTTTAGGGTTGAACGTTCCACAACAGGTGAATCTGACGCGTTCAGACGCGGTTTAAGAGAGAGAAGATTATTTACGGGAAGTGAAATGGCGAATATCGAGTCGCCAAAGATGATTCGCACGGTCGATATGTAAACGTCGGATATTATTGATTACTGATGAGAGGGGAAAGGGCAAAAATAAATTTATCGAAAACTAAACGAGAAGAAAACGGGAGTATTTGGTCTTTGCTTATAACAATCTCTCGAAGAATGAAGCGCGATTAGTGTAGTTGACGGCAGTCAAAGTCTCGTTCGTGGGAAAAACGCGTTAAGTACCGCGCAAGCCATATGCCAGATACGAGGCACCCAGTGTTTGACTTCGTTGAGTGGCAGGAGGTAAATAAAAAAAAAGCCGAATCTTTTCAGAAACTAGATCGGCACCCTCCATTGATTGCGCCGAACAAAGATGTACAAATGATGTACGGCGCTTGCAGTTAATGAGGTATTATCTAATTAAAGAAAGTTGCATTTTTTTTCCACCATTATGTCGTAAAAATAATTTCCGAAAGTCGTTGAAATAATATTTTACTTGTTGTTTCGCACTAATAATCTCCCAATTAAAAGACTCGGTCTCGCGAATGAAGGACTGACCGATCGTCTTTCAATCGCAACGAGCGAGAAATCTTGAAGAAATACTCGAAACTCCTCGGAAAGAGGAAGTCTCAAAGCGCTCGCGTGACAAAAAGCTCTCGCGGCCGCGTATCGCCGCAGACACTCGAGATTTGAAGGCGATTACGTGGCACTCACCCCCTGAATCTCATCGATTAATTAATAATTGACGACGAAAATCGACAAACGCGGCGCTTTAATGTCGGTCGATTATGGTTGAGCCCGTTGTCTCTCGATTTCGATCCGGCGACATGTCGGTGCGACACGTAATCGTCGTCGATCTGATTTCAAAAGCGTATAACGATGTGCCATGAATCCTTCATGAATCGCGCGCGCGCGCGCGCTAACGACGATTCTTTGGATAACGGAGAAAGCGTGAAATAAACGGTAATAAAGATTCTCCCTCCCGACATCGTAACGACTCATCGTTCGAAATGATGTAGCGAAGATCCAGCAAATGCGATAAAATCGGCGATTGAAACAAAATTTCTTTTGCAGAAAAATTTAGGCGCATTAATTACGTGATGATATTTTAAAAAATTGTTTAAATATTATTTTGCGATAAAAAGTGCTTACAATTCGATATCTTGGAACGGCTTGTCACAGACGGTGCATCTCGTTTCTCCTTCCTCCTCATCCTCCTTGTCCTCGTCGACGGTTCCGCTGTGCTGCGAGGCTGTAAATGAAACACAATATAACATAAGATCGCAAGTGCCGTCGACGTACTAGCAATAGCAAAAGTCGCAATTCCATCGCGGTTTGTGTGCGTGTGTGTACGCGCACCCGAATGGTCATAGCTCTATAAATTACAACCCCCGGCGAACGATGATACGTGACCTGTCGTGGTGAGGGCGAATTACGTGATCCAGAACCGCGCGAGGGCCACAGGAGTGGCGTGACAAGTGGACTCGTGGATTGTTCCCTGAATTATTAAATTAAAGCGGCAGTATCGCGGTCGATCTACAAAATAACGAAGACCGTTCCTGCGGGATTCGACTATGATTTAACTAGCCTTGTGGAAAATAGTAAAAAAAACAAATTTCACGAACTGTGTCTCTCTTTCTCTTGTAACATAGCGCAATTTGTTGTCAATTTACATTCGCGTGTCAAAATCTACGTTTTAGTTACATAAATTAAGCAAGTAAAAAAATAATAATAATAATAATATAGACGAAGAGTTTAGAGAGTTATCTTTCTGGCAAAATTATCACAAATTGCTAAATTATTAGATAATTTATTAGATAATGATAGTGTGTGTCGGCAGTCTATAAAATATTTACCGCTCAGAGTTAATAATGTCCCGGTCGGTCAATATCAACTGTTTGCGATGTAATTATACACTTGTATAAACCGTGGCACAATCGTGGCGTCCACAATTACGACTCGAATTACATCACTATCACCGCGCCGTCTCTTCTCTATAGACAAGCACGATCCGTCGCACAAGCGATCTCGAAGACAATAGACACAATCATGTTCTTGTTAGTCGGTCGGTACACCGGTCCGGTAACTGCAAGCGGGGGTGTCCGGGAATCGTTTGCTATTGGTACAAGCGGCATCGGGGATCAGCCAATCGCAGGTGAGTCTCGGCAGCCCCCCTGCGGCGTTCACCTCCGAATATCAGAGCGCAACGGCAGGTAAAATCAGAAACCCATGAAGGAGACAAGCTGCGATTAACCACGATTCAACACGCAACTATCATTGGCATTATATCGCAACACATACGTACGAACTTCTGTGTATTTGTTTATATTAATTTTTTTTTCTAACTAACGTTTACTTATTTGATTGCACGGCGCGTGCTTGATTGCTTTTAAGAAAACTTTCTGCAAAAGTTTATCAGCAGAGGCGGACCTTCAAGTCAGTAATGAGAAAATTATTCCATGTAAAGATCAAATATTATTTTAACGAATTGTTTAACTCTTTATATCGAGAATGCGAGTATGATCCGTTTGAATTGGACCGATATCCGACCTCCAACGGTTATTTAAATCTGCCGCTACACTTGTTCCGACCATATGGTCGAATGATGGCCCCCAACGGACCTTCATGGGAACCGGGTACAACCTCCGTACCGCCAACTACGCCCAACGCCATGCCAAGCCCCCCTTTACGTACGTTAATCGTTCCTCTTTCCACGACTAATTCGTAGCGGCACGCCGTGAATTTAGACAATGAGAGATGCGGCTGACTTTTTGTCCTCGGAACGGCGCAAATGCGGCGTGAATTAAAAACAAAAATCCATTCCACAAAGAACGGACTCAGAACTTTGTTTAAACAATTAAAAAGTTGTGCGGCTCACTTGGTTTACAAAATGTATAAGACGAGTTTTAGAAACGATAAATAAAAAATAGAGTTAAATATTTACAAAATAGATAAAAGTTACGTAAATTGCGCACATTGTTTTCTCGATATTTTCTCGAAATAAAAATTATTCACGTAAAATTGAAAGAGAGATCGCAATTTGTACATTATATGCGCTAAATTTTTTTTACAAGTCGGTCGTTTCTCAAAAATTAATAATAACGGTCGAAATATGTTAATCTACCGTGTAGAAGGTGAGTGAGGAACGAAGTCACGTTGCGGAAAGTCAACAGGTGGGATCCACTGGTAACACCCCCCGTGGTCGAGTAGTCAGTTGGCAGTTGCATGGGAAAAAGTAACGGAAATCAATGTTCTTGCGCTGCATCGCAACATCCGCGATTCGAAGGGCACGCAATCCAAGTGCATCGCAAGCAAAAAATATTGCGTAGAGACGCAAATTAAAACCGAAGTAAATTTTTCTGCGCTTCTCTATTTCTGAAACATCGATTGTGAGCGATTACGTCTTCCGAAAAGTTTTGTCCCATCGCACTATTGCAACACAACAAATTTCAAGTCAAACGTCAAATAAATGTGTCATTAGTCCGATGAATCAGATGGGGTTGTAACATGTCACACGCACTTCCCTAATCTCGGAGTACGCCACCCCCTCAGAGAAAAGAGTGTGTCGCGTGCCCTTTTGTATACGCGGATACCCCTTTTTTTCCCATTCTGACCCGTGCCCTTTTTTTTCAGATCGTCCCCGAGACCTGGTTATGCGCGTGTTAATCGACAATAGTTGGCTATAAATTATCCGCTACCCTAATAGAGCTATTGGGAAATCGCGATGTACACGCGGAAAAAAAAGGGAAAACGACGACCGAAAGAAAAACAAGCACCGCGAAAAATCGCAGCTATAATTCAACCGTAACTGTCTGCGACAATTGCGCCTGCCATTTTGCCTCGTTTCGCGTAGGCATGTGCCTACGTCTCTCTGAAAGCGTTTGAGAAAAGCCACAATGCCATGTCAGTGTGGCTGATCATCATGTTTTGCATTTTTACGGTTTTACATATATTTTATGGTTTTTATATTTTGTGGTTTTATTTAAAAATGATTATTCAATATGCAGTCATATTAATTTATTTAACATTGTTTTTATACGTTGTCTCTAATGTTTATATCGACATGCTTCAATTATTATTTCTGTGCACTTTATGATTTTTTAATACTCTTTGAAAACTTTTCTCTCTTTTCCAAACACACGTGCGTTTTGAAAATGTTTTATTTAACGAGTAAATGTTTTTTAAATGATTTAGTTGTTTAAAAGTCAAAAGTACACAGACGTAAAATGGAGCGTAAATTTATCAATATGAACACGTGATATATATATACATACACGTACGTCTGATGCACGAGATTAAGTTAACATCCGACTTCTGAATTCACGTACACCCCATGTAGGCGTGTTAAAATGATTTCTCGCATCCTTTTTCTTTTTGCCTTCCCCCATCTCTTTCTCTCTCTGCAGAAAAAATGATCCGAGGGAGAGACGCGGCGCAGATGCTCCCTCTCTCGCGCAAGGGTTGGGAACAGAGCGTACATCGTTTGTTTGACATCATTATTCTCGCTGCGCGTACCAGCTTGTCGGAGATTCCCTCGTAAAAATGACTTCACTGGATTAACGCGTTCACTTTTAAGCACACGCTTTTATCGCACAAATGCGAGATTCTTGATTTCAAAATTAATTTATGGAAAGTAACGTTGTAAGCGCGACTTAATTGCGGCGGTAATTTCTCGCTACTGTCCCATAAAACAGCGTCACCCCTTTTCAGATCTTTCTTCATCGTGATTTTATTTGAACAATCAGTACGCGGTTATTTTTTTTCGGTGATTTCAAGCTTGTGCGAAAATATTACATCGTAGAAATTTAATAGCAAATTCTCAGAGGATAACACGACCTGGAAAATATGATCTCCACGCGCGGAGAAATCTTGCGAAATTATATGACGAAAAATTGTCGGCGAATTAGCCGAACGAGCGAATTAGACTCTCGACGACGGCGGAACTTCGACAATAAGCCCGGTTTTAATTACCGCGACATCTGGGTGTCGCGTATAACCCTCCGGCCCTAATTCGGCCCTACCTAAGTCGCCGTCCCGATTCTGACCATCGTGCAGAAGTTACAACCAGATAATTGTCGCGAAGTCAGGCACGTAGTAGACGCGCTACCCTTCTTCGTAAACGCTCCGCGAATTTATTAATAACGGCGCGCGCAATGCTCCACATAATGAAATCCAAACGATCGATTAACTAAATTAAACGGACTCGAAGGTTACAAGCGTCTCTTTCGTGACACAGTCGGGGTGTTTTGATATTTAATATATATCAGAGTTATGTTTCTTCCCACAAGATTGTGTGATTTAATATTTAAGCGAAATATGAACAAAAAAACCAAAATTTATTATTAATGTATCAGCGCGACTCAACAGTCTTTTCAATTGAAAAACAGAAATAAAAGCAGATTGCGATCGGCCTGATGACGGGATTGACGAGAGGGATGTTTCCGGACGCAGACCGAAGCGACGCGGGGCACACAAGCGACATGTGACTTTGACTATACCGTCTATCTCCTGATAATCAGCGCTTATTACCGGACGAGGGGTTAATACGCAACGGTCGACCAGGTGAATCACGCCAGAATCAAGGGTGCATGACGGAGCAGCTCGTGCACACGAACGATTTACCCTCTGCCCGCCCCCGATTCGTCGTTTCGGAAAACACCTGCCCTTGCCCTTCATTTGCGTTCATACGCGTAATTGTAAGCGCACGAGCCGCCAACGTGCGGCCGATGCGTATCGGCACAGAAAGTCGTAAAGCCGTGCCAAAACGATCGTCAACGTCGATATCTCGCGCCCGCTACCCAAATATTACTTTATCCCCCCGCGCTCTGCTCTCTTTCCTCCTCGACGTTATTTTATTTCTTCCAGTGTAAAAATAACGTCGCGTGGTGCGTATTTTACTTTTAAACTTTTATTTGAGGGGAGTTGCATCTCCGAAGATTTGAATGAAATTTTTTAATTCAAGCGCGTATTGTGTGCGTAAAATAAAATTAACGATAAACTATTGTCGATGTATCTTGCTGTAAAATTACATGGGATAGATAAAGACACGTCCCTTTGACACAATCCTCTCGCTTATAAAAAGAGCTCATGAAGAGATATTGTCTACGGAGGCTTTGTGTGTGAGGTTTTTACACAGACACACTTACCGGTCTCTCGATCGCTCCTGTCCTCGGTCGTGTTTTCGCCCAACATATCTTGCAGCTGAAGTGGCTCACGAAGACCCAGAAGAAGCTCTTCGCCCATCACAATGTCCCGCACAGCTTCGTACACCATCTGTGACCATCGAGATATTGTGATATTTAACGCACAAAGATCCGAGATAGTTTTCAAATTTGTTTCTTTTGTTGCAAGAAAAATTGTTCCGCTAAATATGCGTAAGACTTCACTAACTCTAGCGACATATTTTTGCGAGTAAAAATATTAACAAACGAAAAGAAACGGGGAGGAAAAATAGTGGAACGCAACATTCGTCCTGGACGAATCGCGCGCATTTCGACGCGCGTTGAAACGTCGAGCTTTTCACGCGACACGCGTGAAATCTGCATGAGATTCTACGGAGGTCCGGTAGCGCGTCCGGGAGAACGTGAAAACCATCTTTATGGTGTCGTCACGGGGCCCGAATTGCGTCATTACGACGGCGATTCTGCAGGGCACTGATAGCGCGCCGCGTCCCCCATTCCCACAGCGATTGCGAGTAGGGCGTATAGGAAGTCAGTAGCGAAACGACCCCGTGGGGTGACTTAATAACTAAACACCCTGTATACATTCACAGCTTACGGCGCGCCCACAACATCGCTGATACCATGTGCCGCGGTTCGCAGGGAAAAAGAGAGACGGAAAAGGCAGGCCAAACGGGTCTGGAAGCATAAGCTCGACCCTAAATTGACACCGTGACCTTCATCGTTTCCGCCCTTAACGTATATTTGACAGTTGATCGCGACAGTATACGCGAAAACGCGTTTTCACGCGAAAACGATCGAACGAATTTATCTTTTACAATATAATAAGAAGAGATGGTAAAAAACATATAAGATACACATCGCGGGGAAAAACAATTACTCGAATTATCAGTTAATAATCGGACGGAAAACAACAGAGTAATTTTAAACAAGACTTCCAACAATCCCGCTGACAATCGGTAACATATGCAGGATCGATTCGAATGGCGTTTATACGAGCGGCGAGTAATTATTGTTTTTTTCTATTAACTGCAACTGTCGATCGAATGTCAGTTGTTGCATTGTAAATGCTTGTTAAATTCGAGGATGAATCAGACGGTAGCTGGCGAGTGTGGGTCTGCAAAATGATTATTTCGTTCGCCACAATTACAAAAGTTAAGTAAGTGAGAAAACAAATAGGCATTTTTCAAAATCAAACGATAAAATACGTTTCGGGTTTTAAATTGTTTGTATCTGTGTGTGTGTTTTTTTTATAATAATTGCGATATGTTCGTAACATCGTGTTGGCGCGATTTTAATGCAAAATAATTACTCATGCACACGCCACTTGCGCGCGAAAAAGCGAACGTGAGAGATTTTTTTCATCACGCGTGCACAAGGCGGTCGGATCGAAGCTGAAGATCGCAGATGTCGATTAGCGATACCAATACTTCGCTCCTTTTGCGGAATTACCGCTGCACCGCCGTACGTGCGTTTTCGAGTTATAAAGTGGGTTACGAAAGCGAATGTTGCGATAATTGGTTTTTATCATTTACTTTTGTTATTTGAACTTAATTAGAAAAGTTACTTTTTACTTATGCAAATAGCAAATCGATCGCTTTGAAAGTCACGTGCGAAATTAAAAAATAAATGTCCAATCTAATTTGTGTCGAAGGCCAAAAATGGCACATCGTCAATTATTTAGAAACTTTTTGATTTGTTATTTGGAGCCGTTTGATCTCATTAGTAATCAGTTTTTTCATTACCTGTCCACCGATCAGCACGTGACGCATATTCACCGCGTGCGGACTAGTGGTGCTTCTGACGAACTTCAGCCAATTATTCGTCTCGTGAGATGCATCCAACCAGCCTCGCACTCCGCTACCTGCTATGCGCACCTGGAACACACACAAACACGCTTGTTTTTTAATGCAAATACTTGATTACAAAGCGATTCTTTTTTTTTGTAAAGTGTTTTGCCGTGACCGCTGCTGATCTTCGATCTCTTGCCGAACGCGCGCAATTCGGTCGCGCCGTAATAAAGTGATACAAGCGATAAAATTATTTTTCCAGCGCAATTCGGTCAGTGCACGTGCGCGAAACGACACGCATATTTCCGGCGGCGAGACCGCAACATTTCGGATTCGGAACATTGCGTTTAACGGGCTGTCGCTCACGAAACATCGCCCTCTCATCACCCTTCTGCATCTGCTGTAACTTTCCGCTACAGCATCCCTACTTTCAGGGTGAGACAAGTGATTTTTTTTTTTTTTTGTCAATTGTCTAGCGCAGTGTCGACGGCCCGCGACGCTTGGCCGGCCAAGCGTCTCACCCCGGCTAACTTTCGCCCAACGTCGCTCCTGGACATTTTGCCACGGAATATTTTTTTCACCCCTCGCGTATCATGCGGTAAACACATTTTGCACTTCTGCTTCACACACGTACGTACACACACATACGGGGGATACGTTTCTACACCAATTATAAAATATTTTCATCGCCATTGTTTCCGTCCAGTGTGAAACTACTTGCAGTTCCTCATCGGTAAAATACTTAAAATATTCATCGAGTTGTTTCAAAACACTTTACTAATTATAAGATTGAGTCTAATGATGAAATTTTATGATCACAATTTGTTTTTCCATTGAATATATTTTATTCGAGAGTAAGGATAATGTTATCGTTGTCTCTGATAAGACGTTCTCGAACTTTTTTGAAAACTTTCTCGATACGTTAGTCGTCACTTACACATTTTACACCTGCAGGCTCGCACCACCTGCTGGTCGTAGGTGCAACTAGAAGAGCGTTCATAGAAATCAATGAATTACGCAGGTGGATAAGTCGATTCCCGCCAGGTAAATAATCCCCGTCAGAGCGCTCTAACTGGCGGAAAGTATTTCCTCACTCTAAAGCTTTTAAGCGGTTCGGGGACTGATATCTGCGGAGAATCTTCAAACACATTAGATGAGCGGAAAAGAAAGAAGGAAAAGAGAAAACGCCCTCTATCCCTCGAGCCTTTTGCAAACCGGTTTTTTTCCTTTCATTCACGATCCTCTCACTCTCTCTGCGCTCTTCTGATTCTCATCTTCCTATTTGCTTCATTTTCCGAAATTCCTTTCTCGAGATTTGTGGTATCTTAATCTTTACTGACAGGACTATTTCATACGAAAGTACGGTCTCATTAATGTTCTACGAAACTGCGGTGTCCAAACAAATAAATAAACACGGAGTAAGAATTGAAACAGCAATAGAAGCGCAGACAGTTTTTGTGTATTGTAACGCGCGTTTCTAAAATGTTTCATGATCACGCTTCTGCCATCGCACTCTTCGATTAATTTGTCAAGTTGAGACTGTTTTAGATTTGATTACAATTTCGAAAAATATTTTTATCATACTTATTATATTTTTTTAATAATATTGCGAGAAATTTATTTCGTGCCTTGGTGGCACGAATTTGAAAAGGCGACTCCTAGCCAAGGTATCTTTTTCGCAATGGGACTTTTTAAAATTTCATATAGGTGTTAAATGAATAATTCACACATATGTGATGCAAAGTAGCATCTGACATGAATTTTAGAATTGCGGTTCAATTTGAATTTTCTATGCGTATTTTAACTTACACGTTAAAAATAATTTATAATTTCGTACTTACATCCAGCGTGTTTGGCTCTCAAAGCCCTGTTTCTTGATTTAGTTTACATTGTTTTTATATCGTCTAAGTGTAATAGAGGCGTTAGGTTTACACACAAATCTAACAGTCTACACTTACTCTACGTGAAACACGAATAATGTATCACTTCCATTATCATGTCTTGCAGCATCAGCTCAGGTAAGCCGAGAAACCCCGTAACAGTCCACAATAATGCATTAGTAACCCTGGGACAGTTGCCGACGGCGCGAAGAAGGAATCAATGCAACACGATTTCTTTTTTTTTTTTTTTTTTGTTTGATCAGAATAGCTACTTTGCCGGCTACCGAGGGCATTAAGGCTTCGCGTTTTGGATGAAGGGCACGAACCGGGCACTGACAATGGGATTCTGGGGTTACACGACAGATTAGGATCTGTCCCGGATCTCACCTACGACAAAGATGCGCTCAGTAGGCGCAGCGGGGGATTTTTTGCGAAGAAGAATGATAGATCGTCGCTCGCCGAACAAACAAATATTGGCGGAAAATATTTAATCAAACATTTGACGACAGAGGAGCGCGCATTTCTCTTCTTCCTTTTTTGAAGGTTGTAAAAATAAAATAAACGCAAGTTTTCTATCAGACGAGAGAGAAAGATGGCGGAGGATACGAAGATCTCGGTCAGAAAAAAATATTGCGCTTTTTTCTTGAGAAAATTGAGACAGGTCATTAAAAAAATACTCAAGGTTAAAAAATTTGTTTTCTACCGAGTTACAAAAGAGACAGAAATCTGTCACTTTTCGGTTACAGGAAATGTCCCTGCTTTGTCGGCACAACCGAAGCATGTGCCAACAATTCCTGGCACAGATTTGTCTCGTTCACGACGAAATTCTGTTGTCCCGCCCTTATGCCTTAGTACCGTTCTATGCGGCCAATGGAAATTATAATACCGAGGAGTGTATCGTCGCAAGCTTGGAACGTCTTAATAGGCCGTCACTGTCGCACAATAGCGGAATCCTTGTAATAAAATCTCACACTCATCCTACAAGGTACAAGAACGGTTGAATTAAAAGATTATGTCAAACATTTTCAATTAACAATGAGGATATCATTAAAAGAGACACTTTTAGGAAGACACTTTTAAAGATTAATTTTAATATTACAGATGATTTTTTCATAATTTTCGTACTGATTTTTTCCAAACTCGTGTGATCGTTTTGGTATTTTTTTCGAAACAAACACGTGTTGATCTTTTCAAAAAAAAAAAAAAGCCAAAAAACACAGACCTAGTTGTTTTAAGAGTCTCGCGCGTTGCGGATTGACAAAAGATGAACACATGGTGACGTCAAAAGGACGCGCTAGACAGGAAGACAAGAAATTGGATCGGTGGTCCGCTAATAAATTCTCAAAGTTCGAGGATTCGTGGTTTGAAGTTACCATTAAGTTCGTTGTTGATCTGGTATTTCCTTTGTAATAATACACTTTCAAAAAATGCAGGACCTAAAGAAAAGGTCCTCTCTCTCGCTTGCCGAAGATGTTTCACAATAAAGTCACCAGACAACGCGACAGATCTTCTGCCTTATTTCGAATGATCCCTCACAATCGGGACGACGCGTTTCTTTATTGTTAAAATCCGAGTGAGTCAGCAAACGATTATAATCGATCACGATTTATCGCAACTTAACGGAAATTTATGTCGGCGTTTTTTGAAAAGTTTCCGTGATCGAAGATCTTGTTTTTGACAATGGCGTTCTTCTTAAATAGAAATTTTGATTGAATTTTCTTTTTACAAATCTGCAAGACTAGATATTGGAACAATAAGAGAATGCAAAAAAAAAAAATTTTCTATAGATAAAACAGAAAGTGTTCTACGACCGGAGCGAAAGTTATGAATAACGGATCGATGGTGGATGATAGCCCCATGATGGCCGACGCAAAAATGCTTTTAGCCGACACAGCGTGTCCTTCCTCCCTCTCTCTTTCTCTCTCTTTCTCTCATAGAGAAAATCCATCCTACAACTTGATCGACTCACACAGGACTACCATCGCCATTTTTGAGAGAGATAGAGCTTTTGTGAAAGAGATGTAAAAAAATGTCCGAGTATTGTATAATCTCGTTATTTATATATATATATATATTTATTTATTTATTTATTTACATTTGTCTATACGGGACTTTTTATCATGAAAAAAAGAAAAGCGATCGCAGAAATAAACAGAAAGTGGCGTGTCAAACGCACCTAACAAGCGCAAAATAAATAAATCCGCGCCTTTGTACTCGCGCCGACACGTTTCTTTGACTTTCAAGTTGGTTTGGTATTAAAACACCGCGATACTCAAGCGAAATAATTGATCACCGCTATTAATATCGTCTTGCCGGGCAATAAACGCGAACGCGCCATACGTATCCATCATGGGAGGCAACGGCGTATAAGCGAGATTATGCTCGTATGACACAACAATGGCGTATCGAATTTCATTTTCATCCCCTTTCCGCGAAAGAAGAAGCGGGAAAAGCGGGGAAAGAGGGGGAGAGAGAGAGAGAAAGATCGTCTCTCGTAAACATCGACTGCGAATTTCCCAGAGAGTCATCGACGGAACATTCCGCCGTTTCGACGAAATCGTCGAGCGGCGGGTGCGAGACAGGAAAAGGGGAGGTGAGAGAAACGGTCAATTATCATCCCCTAAATAACGGAGCTGTTTACGAGTTTAAGCGTCACGTAGCGCCGGCGCGCGATCCTTACGACCGACCGAGGCATTTAGGCGCGGCGACATCTTTGCTTAATTTCCTCTCGCGAGGAGTGAAAGAGAGAGTGGAGCCCCGAGAAGCAGCCGCTAGTCTTAATTAACGCTTGATTAATCCCGAGGAATCGCCGTGTATCCCTCGCGCGCGAATTTCGCAAACGAAGTCCGCGCCGATCCAAACCCTGTGAAAATTACTGTGACGCGCGAACCTCTCGAGGCGACGATTATTTCGAATTCTCCTCCCGCGCGGGCGAGATCAGGCGGATGACGTGTTAATTGGTTTAATGATTCGTTTCCGCTTGATTAGAATTCGCCGACGTAGTTACATTCGCCCGGCTTTGCGCGCATTTCATGCGTTTTGACTGTGAAATTACGTGATTTAGCGACACACGTTAGCAGGAATAATTGCGCGCCGCGCGCGGGCGCGTGTATAAGCGACATCAAGTGGATTACATATATATTGTCCAGAAAACTCTGTACATATATATGTATACACAACATATATTCTACGTGCAATTAAACTTTG